CTAAAAAACCAGTTGTGCCACCAAAATTGGTGAGTGAGAAATTAACAACACCTCTCACAGGTTTACAGTACTTTAATCATGACCCAAATTTTGAAACTATACAAAATGTACAAGTGGAAAGGTTTCCTTTGATGGATTTTTAATATTCCTTTGTCTACTCAGCCTGCAAAAAAGAAGGATGGGTCTAAAAAACCAGTTGTGCCACCAAAATTGGTGAGTGAGAAATTAACAACACCTCTCACAGGTTTACAGTACTTTAATCATGACCCAAATCTTGAAACTATACAGAATGTACAAGTGGAAAGGTTTCCTTTGACGTTTTTTCAATATTCCTTTGTCTACTCAGCCTGCAAAAAAGAAAGACGGGTCTAAAAAACCAGTTGTGCCACCAAAGTTAGTAAGTAAGAAGTTATCAACACCTGTCACAGGTTTTACAGTACTTTAATCATGACCCAAATTTTGAAACTATACAGAATGTACAAGTGGAAAGGTTTCCATTGACATTCATAAGTGAAAAGTTATCAACATCTGCCACAGGTTTTACAATACTTTAATCATGACAAAATATTAGTAAAATTAGACAATGTACAAGTGGAGAGGTTTCCTTTGACGGTTTTATAATATTCCTTTGTCTACTCAGCCTGCAAAAAAGAAGGACGGGTCCAAAAAACCAGTTGTGCCACCAAAATTGGTAAGTGAGAAATTATCAACACCTGGCACAGGTTTTACAGTACTTTAATCATGACCCAATTTTGAAACTATACAAAATTTACAAGTGAAACATTTTCTCATTAACAATATTTCAATATTTCATTGTCTACTCAGCCTGCAAAAAAGAAGGACGGGTCTAAAAAACCAGTTTTGCCACCAAAATTGGTGAGTGAGAAATTATCAACACCTCTTACAGGTTTTACAGTACTTTAATCATGACACAATGTTATTAAAATTACAAAATGTACAAGTGGAAAAGTTTCCATTGACGGTTTTTTTAATATTCCTTTGACTACTCAGCCTGCATTAACGAAGGACGGGTCTAAAAAACCAGTTGTGCCACCAAAATTGGTGAGTGAGAAATTATCAACA